TTCCTGAACTTGCTCTGAATTTTAATGTTTTCTTTTACTATAAAAAGTAAGATACTTGTGATACATCCAGTGCTTGTGATACAGCCAGTGATTAAATTTCAGAAAACATCTACAAAAGTTGTCATAAATCAAGAAAACCTGACAAACAGGGAAGGGTGAAGAGCCAGGGGTGTATGATTTGGAGAGAAAACCACAAAGCACTGATAGAGGTTTTCATGTATAGAGCTACAAAGAGGAAAGAAATTAATTATTTTCCACCTCCACGTGATCCAAGAATAGACTCAGACTACATGGGACATTCAGCTTTGTCATCAGGAAAAGTTTCCAACACAAGGACAGTGTTGGAAGAAGTTGCCAGAAAAATAATGAAAGACTGGTTTAGACACACACCTGTCAGGCAGGACTAATGCTAATTGAATTCACTTCAGATCAGATGATTTGGTGAGGTCTCAGCTTCTATAATTACTGCATTTAGCACTGGCACTGAGTCCTTTAGCACAGGTCCTTTGTTTGTCAGTCACAGAAAGGGACAAGCCAAAGCATAAACTGAAAACTTCCTTAAACACATTTGAAGTAGAAAGATACCATAGCATTCACAGAAAACAAAAGAAACAAAACAAAACAAAATCACCAAACAAACAAAAAGCCCCTGCACCAACACCAGACCAAAACTGGCTAGAAGGAAAATCTGGAAGATTTTAGCAGAACTTCCCACTTGTAGCAGGATTAACTTAAGAGTTACATGAGGCTGCCAGATCCTGGTGGAATTGAGGTTTGAAAATCTAAATACAGAACCTCTGCAGAAACCCATCCCCAACTCTGATGGGAAAAATATCCTCCCATGAAAATTTTACTTGTGCAGGACCAGGAGTTGGACTCAGTGATCCTTGTGAATCCCTTCTAGTGTGGGACATCCTATTATTTTATGATACAACACCTACCCAGCCTCCCTTCTCTGGCAGCTCCCAGAGGGGAGCACATCAGCATGAAAAACCCCTGGGAACATCCCTAAGGAAGAAACAAGGAACTTTTTCCTCTCAAAGAAAGGAACAGGAGGACAGAGTCCTCAACAGTCTTGCTCCCCCTGCCTGCATCTCCTCTGACAGCTTGTAAGATAAGCTGAGAAGAAATAAAGTCCTACCTACAAATGTCAACAGAAACCTATCAGCAAGAAAATTCAAAGGAAAGGATCTCCAAACAAAGCTAAAATGGAAAGTCCAGTCCACACACTGGTTTATGGAGGATGAAAGACAGCTTTCACAGAGAGGGGGAATTCTTAATTCCCAGAGCTCATTTCTATTTTATGTCCAGATAAATGGGTTGCTCTCAAGGACCTTTGGCTGAACAACAGACTCAGGACACCTGGACAAAATGTTTCTGGTTTTGGTGACCTGGCTCACAGCACTACAGACCCAGAAGCCAAACCCTAATAGGGAGAAGGTTTCTGTACACCAAATTCTCCTGATTTATCTGGCTGCACACTAATTCAAGTCTATAAAATATTATTGAGTTCGAAACCTTGTTCTTTTAACAAAGAGTTTGGAGCAGGCAGATAGTGAATAGCATCTTTTTGTTTAAAAAGCAAGCTGAAAAAATTACCAACGTTTCAGAAAACCAAAGAATGGTGAGTGAAAGCTGGCACTCCCTGCAGCATGCACAATGCTGCACAGCAGGGCAGGTCATTCATTAACCAGAGGGTGTTTAAAGTCTCTGAAAGTGATTGGTCAGCTCCTATCTGCGCAGTTTGAGAAACTGAAGCAGGGTATGCCTAAGGGTGTGGTTTCACAACATCTTAGGCTGAATCAAGAACTTGCTGCTGCCTTAGAGATTCATCCCCCCCTTCCCTCTCTGCCTGGCTCTATGTCCCAAAGAGCTCAAACAAATGAAATGTTATGTCTCAACAGCATGAAGACTTGAACTAATGCAGAACATCACCTGCAGGGGAGGCTCACTCCCAGTGTGCAGTCTCACCCATGTTAAGGAAGGACACTTATCATCCTCTTATTTTATGGAGGTTTGGTGAAACCTGTAGCAAACCACCAACACATTTTCAGCAGGGCTCAGGAAAACTTACTGGACTGAGGCCTAAATAATAATAATAATAAAATAAAAAAGGACACTGATCTGTTACATGCAGGATGCACAAGTAAGAGCATGTCTCCATGGTTCCTGAAGGAACCAGCCCACCAGGTTCCTGCCTGGCCTGGAAGCTGGCCTGGCCAAGGTGACAAGTGCCAGAGCCAAAGGCTTGTACCAGGGCAGAAGAGTGGCTGTGCAGATGGGGTGGAGAGGAGGGAAGGGTCAGGTTTCTCTCCTTTGATGACATGGAGTTAGATCAGTTCAGCTGCAACATGTAATTTCATCCTCAAATACCAAAATGCTGAGCACACATGAAAAAAACAATGTGGGGAAAGAAGTGAGCAGACATTTCACTAAAAGCCACTGCTTTAAAGCAGAATGCTTGTTAGTAAATGTTCTAAATGTCTTGAATTTTTTTTTTAAATCAAGATATGTCAGGGTCACAAAAGTTGGTAGCTAATAATAATCCCACAATTATTTCAGACCTGCTGACTGACTTTCAAAGCACAGCACAAAGAAACCCTGAGTAGAACATGGACAGGGAACTCTCCAATTAAAAGCAATCTCTATTCTCAATACAGACAGGGGTAGTTAAGGGAACTCAGCTCATGTGGCTCCAATCACATTTGTAATCTCCAGACAAAGCTCAGCACTACCCCCTCCAGCACCCAGCTGGGTTTAAGCCAAAATAAATCTGGCAATAAAGCACAAATGCCCTGACTTGGAACTGGGTATGGCCAAAGTGTTTGTCCTCGTGGAGGGAACAGGAGTTTGAGACAGAACCCAGCAGTAAGATTGTGCTTTGAATTAGGACTCCCAGGGTGCCACCAAGGATCCCCAGTGAAACTGGGAACAAGAAAGGGACCAGCTTTGGCTCCTGTACCAGGCTCTGGGCTCCCAAGCACCACTTGTAGTGGTTACACACCTCCCTGGCAGCACACTGAGTGAAAATCGATCTGTTAAAGCAGAAGTGACTTAGAAAGGGTCTAAGGAGAGAAACCTGGCAGGGTTTCAGGTCACAAAAAGTTAAAATTACACTCTGACACAAAGCCAAGTCAAGACTCCAAAGTCTGTCACTTCTTTGTGAGCTCTCACTTACTCTGTGCTGTGAAGGACCTGATAACAGTTAAGCCTGGAAATGTTTCTCACTACAGTTACTTCAACAATATACTAAAAAAAATATATATATACATTAAAAAAAATCACACTCACTGTCCAAAAGCCAGGAAGATAATTACTGAGCTGTAATACAGAGCCATGCAGTTAATCTTATACAGATTGGAGAGAGACCTAACTATGACCACAGAATGACTCTTGGCAGCATAATCTGCATGTGATCAAACAAACAACAGGTTCAGAAGATCAAATTAGTGCTTATTTAGCAATGAATTGTACAATCTCAAGTCTCAAGTTCACTTTATGCTTTATTTCACTGAGAGAAAAGAGTTCCACATTCATCACATGCACTGTAGAAATGACAGCAGTGTACAGGCACTTTGACTCAAACTGGCCACAAATGCTGCCCATGTAACTCCTGGGCTTTAAAGCCATTTATCAGAAGTGGTTTGGGTACGTTTTAGTCACCAAAGGGGGAAGGAAAAAAAAAAAAAGAGAAGAAATTACACTGGTTGTTCAATTTCAGGACAGCACACCTGAGACATTCAGCACACACCATCTTGGTTAGCATCGAACCCTGGATGTACCTGTGCTGTAACCCCAGGGGAATCCTAAAAACAGCATAATCCAACCAACCATCTGCAAGGCCAAGCCTACAAAACATTCCCCCCATCTTTCCATGACACAAACCACAGAGCCATTTACAGAACAGGCTCCATTAACAACCAAACAATCCATTTTCCAAGAACTTCAGCCCTGGCAGGAGATGATGGGACTCAATTCCTGCTTTGCCTTGTACGTGGCACACAACCCACCTGGATCAGGGCTGAGAAAGGGCAGACACAGCAGGACTGACTGGTGCAGCTGTCATAACAATTACTAACAAATATAAATTGAAGTAAGATGCAAATTCTTTGAAGCACAGGTGTCATTCAAAGCATTCTCCCCAAGACAGATCTTTCTTTTGTTAGGACATTCACAAAACATTCTCCTTTCCAGACACCAACATCCATAAATGCTGAGCACAGATTTCACCTTTAAAACAACCTCACCAGAAGTAACACTCAAGGCCATAAAAGTCCCCACCACTGACCAGCTGTCATTCACTTTGGCATCTGAAGAACATTTACTTTCTACCAAATACAAACTTCCAATTTCAAGCCCAGTTGTAAGGATTTCTGGCATAGAAGTCACTACATCAATATATATCTAGAAATTGTTATTTTGCTCAATAAATTGGATATTGTCAAAGAAGGATTACCAATTATTTATTTCTAAAAAGAAGCCACTTGACCAACTTAGCAGCAAACCAAAAAACACACATTTCAAACAAAACAAGCAACAATCTTAACTGGAAATATCACTCTATCACATTTTTGTAGCCTTTCAGTGGGAAGAAGGACAGAATAGAAACAAGACAACAGCCCAATTACCCTGTCATTTTCAGATTCTTTCATGTAAATTTGTCAAGTGGAGTATACAGATTAAATGCAAAATTATTTTCTTACTTACTTTTCAGACACAAAGAATAGTTTGCCTGTCTGAAAGCTCCTCATCTTGCCCATTACCTATTAGTTTAGCTTTAATCTCTATTATCTGCTGAAATCATCATGGCTGCATTGACAACACCAGTAACTCAATTTAAGATAACACTCAATATTGAAGCTTCCAGATATAAGACAATTATAGTAATGCAATTTTATTAATAGAAACACACATTCACTAATACATATATATAAAGAAAAATCTTTATTTCAAATGAACATTTAACACAGATTGTAAAACAAACCTTAACAGTGACTTACCAGGAAGCCTGTTCATGTTGACTCCTTGAGCAGAAAGTCCTATTCCCATGTACCTTCAAAAAAACCAAACAAAATATCAGTCAAGCAAAAGAATGGTCACAGCACAAGATTCCCTGCAGCAGAAACACAGCACTAAAATAAACCCAATCCACAGAAAAATGACTGAAGAATGACAAAATTACTAAAGATTTTCCATTACTTATGTATTTTATTGAATCCAAGATAAAACATCAATCTCCTGTAGCTGACAGCTGTCCAATGTACAGCTACAGCTACTCTTTAGCTCTTAATTGGTAGGAAAAGCACTGGACAAAAATCAGCAATTTAATTCCCAATTTGGTATTTGTGAGGTATTTTTACTCATATATCAGAAAAAACTATTTATATAGGTGATTAACAAGACAGTAAAAATCATCTAAGTGCAGATATAGCACAGGAGGACAGATGTCTGTCCAGCCTGATGCACTGTATCCAAAAACAGCTGACAGTGGATGCAGAGGACAGAGAACTCAGTTGTACTTTCCAAGAACACTTTTTCATTGTTCAGCATGTATTTTACACAATCTCACTTTCTGAACCTTTGTAAGCTCTTTGAAAAGGCAACACCTACAGCTCCCCCATTCAATTCCTGCCCAACCTATTTTTTATTTTAAAATTGGAAGAGAGAGGAAAAGGATTTCCCTGACTACTTTCTCAAGGATTTTGAAGTCCTGATTCACATCCCATCCCAAAGGTCTCTTCTCAAGGCTGGTTAATCAGAGTCTGCTCAGCTGCTCTCATGGAAGCTCATCTCCACCTCAGCTCCTGCTACACTTCCAGTTCTATGACTTCTTTGAGAAGCAGGGAATAACCAGAGCCACCAGCATCACACAGCACAAGCCCAAGGTGATTATTACAGATAACAGCATAACAATGTTCTCCGCTTTGGTTTCTATTCCTCCCCCTCCTGATCTCTATTATTCCATTTATGTTCTGACTGCAGATGAGAACTGAACTCACTTTTCCATCAAGTGGGACACAGCTTGACCCTGCACTCTAAGTGGCAGCTCAGAGGCCATTTTTTGTATAAAGTCTGGATTGTTTATTCCACCCTCATAAAAATCATTGTGCACCTATCTCCAGCAGGACAGTAAGGCAAATCCAGCCTTCACAAAGTCTCCTCTTCCTTACTGTAACACTTATGCACATTCCCATTTTGTGTCTTCTGTATCTGTTAATTTGCATGGTCTGTAATTTTTTTGTTGTTGTTGTCAAACAACATTGTTGCTGTATTAACTCTTTTACTTCAGAATGATAATCCTTTAAAAGCAGAAGAGTGGCATTTGTGAGCCTCCAAACATTCCTATGTTTCAGAGCTCTTCATAAGAAGTTCTCCCAAGACTCTGGCTTGCTTCCCATCCCTGATGTGCTGGGAAGGAAAAATATTTCTTTAAAATTTCAGACCTTTAGCCACATGTCCCTCAACTAATTTTGGTCAACCTTATTGGGTTTTTTAAGCTTAGAAGTTTGTTCTTTAAATTTGTCTCATTGAATAAAATTTAAACTTAAGGTGTGTATCCCTATTGCCTCTCATCCCTATGTAATTTTGTCAGGTGTTTTGATCAGCTGTCTGATCCTCCAATAAAATGTCTTCTTAAACAGTCTCTGTACCATCTCAAAGAATTTACCCTTCTGATTTTATTAGCTACTCTTAAACAAGCTTCTTTAATTTGTAAGGTTTGCTTTCTGGCTTTTTTGCTGTTGGGTGGTGGGGTTTTGGATGAATACTAAAGTGGCAGGGCTTTTATGACACTTCTCAAAGGACACCAAAGATGGGTGATTATGGTCAGTGCTGCAGAACAACTTCTGAACACACCTTTGCTGTAAACATCTTCTGCACTGCTCAGAGCACCAGTCAGAAGTGACATCCCCATGAGCTCCCTGACTCACAAGAGCCTCTCCACAGCAGGCATTTATGGCATCTAAAAATTCAGCCTCCCAGTGTCATCTGACATACATGCATCTGTAATAGACTGAATTTGGGGATATTTTTACAGCCTTCCAGGCACAATATGGAAGACTTTCTCCTATATCTGCAGGGACCACTCCAGCTCTTCCTTGTCACAGTGACAGATAAGAGAGTTCTTATTTAATGTCTCTATTTCTACTGAGTCTGGAGTCTTCTGCTGCTACAGAGATTTCCTTACTACATGGTGGGGTTTGCCATAAGTTTTTTTCCAATTACGTGTGCAAGCAGCCAGGATCTAGTCCACAGCTATAGCTGCCCTCAGCTCTATGACAGCAGTGACAACCTCAGTGCCACCTCTGCCAACTGCTGAAGCCTGAGGGGAGCTGTGATCCAAAGTACCCAATTCTTCAACTCAGTGTAAAAGCACCCTCTAAGCCTGAAGCAATAACACCAGAGCTCACCCTGACACTGGCAGGTCTGAAACACTCAGCAAAGACAATTCTGCTTCCTGGCAGAACCATCCCCACCAACTTCACCAGGACACATCACAAGCTCCAGACCTCCTGAATCTGTTGGCTGTGACAGACTTTGTTCAAAGAACAGGACGTGCCTCTTGGCACAGGGAATGTTTCTTATGTCCTGATCTGTTTGGCTCAGCTGAAGGTAAAGCACTGTAGCACTGTGGCCACTTTGTCATGTGGTGGTGTCAGATTCCTTCCTTTCAGTACCACACAGCACAGCCCTGCTGGCACAGGGCCAGGGGCCAGCTCCATCCCTCCTTGCTGCCTGAGGGTGCTTGTCTGCTCCTCTGCCTCTGCATGTGCTGCTGCTGGCATGAGCAGAGCCAGGACTGAGCAGGGAGGGCACCTCTGCACACAGCCCTGGCACAGCCTCACCACAGTGCCAGCTGCAGCACTGCCAGGGGTGCCCTTTGTCCCCAGCCCCTGATGGGGCTCTGCTCTGTATTGCACCATAAGGGAAACACTGGAAATTAGAGGAAATAACCTAATTGTCAAACTCAGATAAAATAGGTCATCACCCACTTCAGCTTATCCTGCTTAACTTCATTATTTTCTGTGCAGATTCACCTCCCCCCTCTTTTGTGTACAGCTAAATCTGATGCACATAACCAAATACAAAACTTATACAATTGTATCTTTCCATTTTCAGACAACATAGCTTTAAATTGAGACTGGAAGCTTGTATTTTTATAAAAAGCAAGCACTACAACTCCACAAATTCTAAATTTAAGATTACACTTTAATCTAGATACACAACATCATGGAAATATGTTGCTAAAAAAAAAAGGAACATGACCACAAACCTTCCTGGTTCACAGTTTTTTGCTCTTCAACTTCTGCTCCCATTTAAAGCTCAAGACAAACTTTAAAAATAAGACCATAATGGCTGTAGAACTGTAGACAGAATTTGCAGACAACCTAAAATAAAAACAGACTCCCTCACCATGCTGAGTTTCAACTCCACAGCCCACAGCTTACATCCAGAACCTCAAATTGTCACAGACTTGACTGCTGGGTTTTGTTTTAGAAAGTGTTACTTTGCTTTTATCATCTACAATCAATTTATGTACCAGAAGTAATGGATGAAATGAGCTTTAAGATCAATAAAGCCTCAGTGGAAAAAATAAATCACTTTATTGTCTTGAAAACTGGGAGGGGAAAAAAAATTAAATCTTCAGCTTCACCACCCCCAAAAGCACCAGATGCTTTCTGAACTTCTTGGTGCAAAACAACTTCTCACTTCCCCGATTCCAAATGTTCCAAATCAGTTTTGTGTATGCAACAAATGCTGGTTAAACAGTATCTGTGGGCATCATCAAGAGCAAACTACTGCCCTTTTTTAAAAAAAATATTTAATCAATTATATTGAGTATCATGCAACATAAACCTCTATGGCCTGCCTGTCCTCACCCCTGGTTTCAGACCATAATGATGTGGGCAGACTCCCTGTGGGGTATTCCTTAACTGGAGCTCCTTTTTGAGAGATCCAAAGAGCCTCTTTAAAAAAAAAGGATGCACAGGAATGTCAGCACCCAGTGTCAAACTGGAAAAAATAATTTTGGGGGCAATAATACCCTTATATCCATTATCCATCATAGGTAATCTGCAAAGCTGAGCAAAAGTGACCTCCTAAAACCATCTTCTGACCAGTGAACACTGAATACTTGGACCTGTCCCCCACACCTAATCTGAAGCTTCAAAAATGCTGCATCATTAGACCAATTCCAAATAGAGCAGACTGGCAAAAATAAACTCAGACACATGCTGGTGATTCAGTCAGAACAGCCTTGTTTCCACTCACCAGCAGCCCTGGCAGTTACCATAGCACCAAATTTTTCCAGACTCCTACTCCACCTCAGCCCTGCCCAGCATTGGCTGCTTTAGAAACTGTGCCTGAATCAGCCCCACCATCAGCTCTGCCTGTTCATCCCCTCCCTGCCTCTCCTTGGCCCCAGCAGAACGAAGGACTTTGGTAAAAAGCTCTCATGGCAGAAGATTCTGGCTCCACACACACCCCCAGCATTATTCCCAGGGTTTTTTCCTCCAGGTCTCACAGCACCATGGCTGTGCTAAGATTAAGCTCAAAGACACAAAGCTTTTTGGGTCCCTTCCCAGCTGCCAAGGACTCAGCAGTGAACACCAACATGTGGCTGCTCCAGCACAGTGACATCCATACACAACAGCATTCACTTCTGGCCCCTAAAACAGCTTGGGTTGTCTTAGATATCTTCAAAGCTGCATTTTAAATCTGTATATTAAAAAACAATGTGTAATTTGGTTTTTGTTTCTGTCAATAAGACTTTCTCTTGGAAAATAAATGGAAAATCAAAATGATGACTGCATTTTGGAATTAAATTTTAACTCTTAAAGATATAAAAGATCTCAAATGCAGTGACTCAGTCAGGAAGAATTACATATTGTCACTGGGCAGAAATCTGAAAAACAATGAGAAAAGTTATTTCACAGGAGTGACAACATCTGACTGACCTAAACTGAAACAAAGAGATCTCTTAATGAGGCTGCTCTAAGCATTACAGAAGTAGGGGAGACACTGATGGCTGTGTTTAGCTTGTCCCAGAAGGAG